TGAGAAAATAATGGGAATTTCTACTTGAAATGCATTTTCATCCCAAAACAATTTAAGAGTTTTACCACATCAAAACAGACAAGTTTAAATAAGCCCTAAAAGACTAGGGAGCTGACATACTAAAAGGCACAGGGCTGTAGGTAATTTTTTTTTTCTGGGAGGGGTTCAGCTGCATTTTTATGGCCCCCCCCACCATCTTCTCCCCCTTGAAGGAAGGAAGGGAGGGATGGAAAGAAGGAAGGGAGGGGTGGGTGGAAGGAAGAAGGTATGGATGGAAGAAAGGAAGGGAGGGGTGGAAGGAAGGATGGAAGGAAGCAAGGAAGAAAGGAAGGAAGGAAAGGAGGGGTGGGTGGAAGGAAGGAAAGGAGGGGGGTGGGTGGGGGTGGAAGGAAGGGAGGGATAGATGGGGGAAGGAAGAGGTGGATGGAAGGAAGGGAGGAGTGGGTGGAAGCAAGGAAAGGAGGGGTGGGTGGAAAGGAAGGAAGGAGTGGATGGAAAGGAAGGGGATGGGGTGGGGGAAGGGGTGGGTGGAGGAAGGGTGGGTGGGGGGGTGGGGGGGGGGGGGGGGGGGGGGGGGTGGAAGGGGGGGGGGAAGAGAGGGGTGGGTGAAAGGAAGGAGTGGGTGGAAGGAAGGAAGGGGGGGCTGGAAGAAAGGAAGGGGAGGGGTGGGTGGAAGGGGAAATGTGGGTGCAAGGAAGGAAGGAGTGGGTGGAAGAAAGGGGGTGGGGAGAAAGAAGGAAGGGGGGTGGCTGGAAGAAAGGAAGGGAGGGGTGGGTGGAAGGAAAGGTGGGTGCAAGGAAGGGGTGGGTGGGTGAAAGGAAGGAAGGACGGAAGGGGTGGGGGGAAGGAATGAAGGGAGGGGTGGGTGGAAAGAAGAAATGGGTGGGTGGAAGGAAGGAAGGGAGGGAGGGATGAGAGGGGGGAAGGAAGGAAGGAAGGAAGGAAGGAAGGAAGGAAGGGTGGGGGGTGGGTGGGAAGGAAGGGATGTTAGGGGAAGGTGGGAAGGAAGGAAGGAAGGAAGGGAAGGAAGGAAGGAAGGAAGGAAGGAAGGAAGGGGAGTTGGATGGAAGAGATGGATGGAAGGAAGAGGTGGATGGAAGGGGGGGGGGGTGGGTGGCTGGAAGGAAAGAAGGAACGGAGGGGTGGGCAGAATGAAGGAAGTGAGGGGTGGAAGGAAGGAAGAAAGGGAGGGAAGGAAGGAAGGGGGGGAGGAAGGAAAGAAGGGAGGGGGGGGAAGGAAGGAAGGGAGGAGTGGGTGGAAGGAAAGGGGTGGGTGGGGAAGGGGGGGTGGGTGGGGAAGGAAGGACGGAAGGGGGTGGATGGAAGGAATGGAAGGGGAGGGGTGGGTGGGTGGAAAGAAGAAATGGGTGGGTGGGAAGGAAGGAAGGGAGGGGTGGGTGAGAGGAAGGAAGGAAGGAAGGAAGGAAGGAAGGAAGGAAGGAAGGAAGGGTGGGTGGGTGGGAAGGAAGGATGTTAGGGGTGGGAAGGAAGGGGGAGGAAGGAAGGAAGGAAGGAAGGAAGGAAGGGAAGGAAGGAAGGAAGGAAGGAAGGAAGGAAGGAAGAGTTGGATGGAAGAGATGGATGGAAGGAAGAGGTGGATGGAAGGGAGGGGTGGGTGGCTGGAAGGAAAGAAGGAACGGAGGGGTGGGCAGAATGAAGGAAGTGAGGGGTGGAAGGAAGGAAGAAAGGGAGGAAGGAAGGGGGGTTGAAGGAAAGAAGGGAGGGGCAGAAGGAAGGAAGGGAGGAGTGGGGTGGAAGGAAGAGAGGTGGGACTCACATCACTCAGTCAGAAGCAGAGCTGTCAGCTGCTCAGTGTTCAGTTTCCCACCCACACCTCCTCTGAAGCTGCACAGACTGGAATGTGGGTGGGCACAGGGGGGAGGCAGAGCAGATTTCTCTCCCCTCTTCTCCTATTGGTGCGAAGCATGGAGAGAGAGGGGCTAGGCACTGCAAAGAACACAGCAGCTGTGGGGTGGAGAGGGGGGCCAGAAAGAAAATGGGACAATCAGGTATGTTCTGTGCAGAGGTGGGGTGTAGAGGGGGGGGGAGACAGAAAGAAAACGGAATGATCAGGTATGTTCTGTGCAGTGGAGGGGACGGTGACAAGCAGTAATCTCCTGTATGGCTTTCAATAAAGCAGCTGGAAGCCGATTCTCCTCCTCTCCCTCCTGCGGCTTCCAGCTGCTTCATTGAAAGTCATACAGGAGATCACTGCCTGTCACCCCCCACCGCCACCCCTCCCACACACCCCAAGTCCCGGCACTGCTTGCCCCCACCTTATTTCCACTCGGGGGCGAGTGGAAATTTTGAGGGCTGCAGGGATGGTTGGCAACTCTCCTCTAGGGGGGGTTCAGGCTAAGGGAACATTCCTTTGCAAAATGAACGGCATACTTGACTTTAGTAAATCAACCTCTATGTTACCAAAAATACCATGTTAGTACAAGTTCTATACAACAAAAGCTACAGCCAGGACATGAGGGTTCCATGTGATGAACGTCATGTTAACATAGATGCTGTATTTCTAGCAATGAAATCCAAGAGAATTATGGTGGCTGGGGGTGGCATATTAGCTAAGGGACTATATTATCCGAGGCTCCACCTTACTCTTTTAGTAATTTCATATAACCAGGAGTACCAGGCTACCAAGGGCACAATGATACTAGTGGTGCCATGCCTCCATGGGTTTCCAAGAGTAATATTAAAGCTAGGTTCACGCCTACGCAGGTTGCGTTTGAGCCATTTCTGCACTGCGTTTTGAACCTGCGTTTGTTACGCATTTTTTATGCGTTTCACTTTTTTTTTTCTTTTTCTTGTTGCTAGACAGATTTAAAATGCAAAACACATTAAAAATACATCCAAATCATGGCAAAAATGCAGCAAAAACTCAATACATGCTTTTCTGCAGCATTTCCATTGAAGTCCATTGAACCAAAAATGCAACTTTTGTGCTCAAAAAAGTCTCTGACCCTTTCCAAAAAATGCACCGGGTGAAAAAGTGCAGATGTGAACGTGTCCCATAGGAAATCATGTTAAATGGACTATACTGCGTTTCTGCAAAACACTGAGGTGTGAAGCAGTGAGGATTACTTATTCTTGGGTCCAATATATCCATTTACTTCAGCTGTATGTAATTTGCTTCATACCAGAAGAGCCAACCATATTTAGAAAGAAACAGATAAACATCGCTCCACTGCCATTATTCCTCAACAGTAGAATGTCTTTAGTCATTTGCTTGGGTATGCCTTGAGAAACAAACCTGTTTTTGAGTGGCCACGCAGAACAGCAACGCGCCAACATGCATCCCAATTTTTATCATTAATTAGAATTATCCTTTAGTCTAAAATATTTATAATAATACTATAATTGTGCACATTACAAATCCAAATACTATATTTGCATGAGTATTCTCAAAGGATAATATTTTGAAATTGTTATATTTTTATCATTTTGTGAACAGCAGACTATTAACTGAAAAAAAGCATACAAAAAATATAGCAGCAACCCCTGTACGCATTTTTTAAATGCAGACAAATGCTAATATTTATTTTTTGGCATTCTCAATTACTAACTGTTGAATACATGAAAAGAAATACATTAAAAAAGAAAAAACGACCAGGCTGTTATAATACATTAAATACTACAAAATATTGTTTCTGATTTTAGTTCAGAATGCATAAAACTATTTATCATATTCCCCAGCTGAATGTCCAGAGTGTGCACTATGTCTTATATTTGAATTAAACTCCATTCAATAAATAATCACTCTACAGATAAGACGGTTCCCTGAAGACATAAGCAGTACCGTAATCTCACCACTGAATCTCTCCAATTAGTTAGTTCCTACATAGTTTTATAATTGAACATCTTTCTGCAGGCAAAGAAATAGATAACTGGGGAAGTGGAAGATGATATAATCTCACCATTCAAATATTTGTTACTGTTATATAGAGAAGATACATTGGCAAGATCAGAGGTCAAACGACAGTAAAAGATTAAGCAACTTCACGTGCACATTCCAAAATTGTTTCAGGTAATAAAATTATTAGCAGTGACCTGCCATAATAATAGTGCATGGAGACTTGTTAAACGTTACTGCTTATTCAGTATCCTCTAAAAATAAAAAGACAAAAAAGGGACAAAAGTCAAGCGTGCAGGGGTTATATAAATATCCCTCCAACCATTCAAATCCTTCAAATCAACTGAGTTATAACTTTATTAAAATGTATGTAAAATTGTCAATGGGGGAAGCAAATTAACCGCTTGCCCACTGTCCTATAGAAGAAATACTGTTACAGGGAGGCAGGGCTGCTTTGTATTGCTATGCATAGCAGAGCAATACAAAGGAATGTGCTTACACAGTAAAACAGCACATAGTTAACCCCTTGATCACCCCAGATGTTAACTCTTTCCTGCCCAGTGTCATTAGTACAGTGTCAGTGCTTTTAATTAGCACTGATCACTGTATTAGTGTCTTTGGGATGTCAGTGACAGTCAGTTTCCCCCCCCAGTGTCAGAATGCCCGCCGCAGTCCCGCATTCCAGTATATATTCCGCCATTTGTAGATGCTATAAAACTTTCACGTAAACCAATTAATTTACACATATTAGGATTTTTTTTTTTTAGCAAAGACATGTAGCATAATACATTTTGACCTAAATTTATGATGACATTTGTTTTTTTTTATTTTTTTTCTGTACATGTTTAACCACTCGCCTACAGGGCACTTATACCCCCTTCCTGCCCAGGCCAATTTTCAGCTTTCAGCACTGTCACACTTTGAATGACAATTGCACGGTTATGCAACACTGTACTCATATGAATATTTTATAATTTTTTTGAGACAGAGTTTTTTTTTTGGTGGTATTTAATCACCTCTGTTTTTTTTTTAGTTTTTGCTAAACAAACCAAAAACAACTGAAAATTTTGAAAAAAAAAGTTTATAAAATTTTGTAAATAAGTAATTTTTCTCCTTTTCTGATGTGCACTAATGATGATGCAGTGATGGGCACTGATAGGCTGCACTGATGGGCACTGATAGGTGTCAGTGATGGGCACTGAAAGGCAGTACTCATATATGGCACTGATAGGCGGCACTGATAAGCAGCACTGACTGAGACTGTTAGGCGGCACTGACTGCCACTGTTAGGTGGCACAGATGAGCGCACTGATAGGCAGCACTGACTGGCACTGATAGGCGGCACACTGACTGGCAGCACTGATAGGTGGCGCTGACTGGCATTGATAGGTGGCACTGAAAGGCAGCTCAGATGGGCACTGATATGTGGCATTGATGTGCACTGGTATGCACTGATATGTGGCATTGATGTGGCACTGATGGGCACTGGCAGGTGGCATTGATGAGCACTGACAGCTGACATTGATGGACACTGACAGGTGGCACTGCTGGGGCTACACTGATCATCAGGGCACACTGATCATCAGTGCCCTGATGATCAATGTGCATGTCCCCTCTGAGGAATGCCGATTACTGGCTCTCCTCTCGAGCTGTCAGCATGACAGCTCGTGAGGAGAGACATGCCGATAACCGGTATTTCCTTATTTACATGTACTCAGGGCTTTCTTTCTGCCGGAACGCGGCGGTACTGCGTTCCGCCACCTTTTTCTTCTTGTCCCCGCTCACCGACTGCCTCTGCAGAGCTGACAAGCTATGCAGAGCACGAAAGTGACAGGTGCCGGACGCGGCTTGATGTCATGCTTGCGCGTGCCCGGCACCTGTCACTGCCGCTGCTCACAGCCGGTGAGCGGGGACATGCACGCTTCACCCCCCCCCCCTCTACCGCCAGCGTGTAAACATCGGGGGCGCGGACGATGGGCAGGACACTATGCACGCTTCACCGCCCCCCCCCGCCGGCGTGTAAACATCGGGGGCGGCGCGGCGACATGATGACAGGTGGACAGGGGCCGTACAGAGTAGGTAAGCTGCGCTCGGCTCCCTGTCACTGACTGCACATGTATTGCTCTAAATTTTTACTCTCCCCCAGCCTGTGCCCACCTAAACTGAACCACCTGTGCCCACCTGAGCCCACCTAAACTATCCTCACCCACCTGAAACTATTTCAGAACGCAATTGAGCGCTCAGCGGCGCCCGATCGAGAGCGCCCCTCCTGTGCATGAGGAACAGGAAAGATAAATTCAGTGATGGACGGTATTTTTTGGAGGAAAAGGTGGCAACCCTAGGGGAGCCTGTAGGAGCAGGCACATCTACCAGACAGGGTACACATGACATGCTGACTGATTTTATATCTATGCTGGATGAAACGGCCTGCCATGATTTTATATCTATGTGTGTTCCTGGTGTCAGTACGGTACTGATTTTATATCTGCTGGGTGCTAGTACACTGATTTTATATCATGGTGTTTCTGGTGTCAGTACGGTACTGATTTTATATCTATGCGTGTGTTTCTGGTGTCAGTACGGTAATTTTATATCTATGCATGTGTTTCTGGTGTCAGTAAATTAGTCATTTTATATCTATGCATGTGTTTCTGGTGTCAGTACGGTACTGATTTTTTTATCTATGCGTGTGTTTCTGGTGTCAGTACGGTATTCATTTTATATCTATGCATGTGTTTTCTGGTGTCAGTACATTAGTCATTTTATATCTATGCATGTGTTTCTGGTGTCAGTACATTAGTCATTTTATATCTATGCAGCTGTCAAGAGGCAGCCGGGGTCCGATGACATCATTTCCGTAGGATGGTATGTACAGACATGATGTCATCGAAGCCCCTAACCCTAAAGGGGTTTCCTTTTTACATGTACTTCATAATGTCCTAGTATGAAATGCATACTAGCACATTATGCCATTGTCTTGCAGGTTTTGTTTTTTTAAAAAACTACCGCTTTAAGGTGGGTTTTGTTGGTTTTGAAGGGTGATATATGGACTTTAGATTAGGCCTGATGTTTTCAAAAGCTGCAAAAATATCCCTTAACTAGACTAATTATCCTAGATCTGTCATTTTCTGGCAGTAAGTTTGAATGAGATCAGCTGAAAATGGTTAAAAAGAGTCATTTTTGTTGAAAAACTGTTGTTCACTCTGAAGAGCTCAGTGAGAGCTGCTTGGAGGGAAGGGACACATGCTCTTCACACAGCTCACAGGAACAGAGCTGAGACTGTCAATTTGCTGGAGCTCCCTCACCGCCACCCCTTTTTTCTCTTGGTGTCAGGAAAACTTGTCAGAAATGATTCATACACATAACAAAGGAATGAAGCAGCAGACAGAAATTACACTTAGTGCTCTAGATTGAGATGAATACACACTATAGAGGGATATATAAAGGTTTTTAGCAGATTATATTTACTAAAATAATTGCATTTTCATGTTCTGTGTACTGTGGGAGACCAGCTATAGTGAACGCAGGGTCACAAGAGACTCGGACTTCATGGAGCAAAGCTGCAGCTCCATGTGTGAATGAACACACAGAGCAGCAGGTCATGAACATGCCTGCTTGGGTGCCCCCATAGCAAGCTGCTTGCTATGGGGGCACCCGAAAGAAAAGAGGAGCAAGGAGAGCCATCAGGGGACCCGAGAAGAGGAGAATCCAGGCTGATCTATGCAAACCAATACACAGAGCAGGTAAGTATAATATGTTTGTTCTTTTAAAAAAAATAAAAATAAAAGAACCTTTAGTATCACTTTAATTCATCAATAAAGTCAAGGCTCTGTGCAGGCAATTTGATTTCCTCCACACTAAACTGGTCAACTCATGTGTTTATGGAACAAGCTTTGTGGACGGGGCATAAGTATGCTGGAATAATCTAAATTCAAAACCTTGAAGGAGTGTCCACAGATTTTGCCCATATATTGTACGTGACTATGTTACTACTGAACTCAAAATATAGTGGATCAGTGTTCTCCTGGTAATGTTTGCATAGCCAGTAAGTGGATTACTAAGTTAGTAATACAAATTCAAACAAGAGCACAAGTTGGCATTAATTGTCATAGTATGCCTTGTTCTATAATCACTGAAAGAAAGGCAGATCTGGTGGCTGCATACCAACAAGGATGAGGTTAATATTTGAGTCTACCATGGATTAGAGACAAACCCAGCATGATCGAGGTTTGCAGTTCTGGCAAACTAACGTGGAAGTTTGTCGACCCTAAATTTTTTTAACTTAAATGCACTGCAAGTGCCTTTGAATTTAGGTCAGCTGGCTTAGAAGAGAAGGGGGGGAGTGTTGTTTCATGGCAGCCCCGTCACAAAAAGTAGGGTCACACTTACTAGCAACCATAGTGGCAGTGGAAGCTTCTACAGATAAAGGTGAGGGAATGCTGACAAATTACATAAAGAAAGATTAGCATCAGCTAGATAATTTTACTTTAATTCACTTTCAGCTGCTGTCTTGTCTTCCAGTGTTTTTTTTTTTTGCTGTAAGAATTGCCCTAAAATGTACTTTTTCAGGCTGCAGTATTTTGGAGTTTCCAATTATTTTGTTTTTTGGTTCTGCCTGACTGCTCAATAAAAGATTGTATTTTTGCTTCAGGGGTGGTATCTTTAGGTTTTCATGCAGCAGCAGAGCATTATTTTTGTTGCCAACCTGTTCTGTTGGTTGCTTTTTGTCTGCAGCATACTGCTGCATCTTTTGAAAGGAATAGGAAACACACAAAAGTAACCAAAATCAATTTGCACAACATCACTCATATTCACAGCACCCCCTATACCCATTGCAAAAAAATGAAAGTTAGGCATACACGGGTAGGGCCTATTTATTCCTGATTACAACTGGTTTGCTGATATTCAGCCCTTTACAATTGTCTTGCTGCTGGCCAATTTTACACTGCAACATTATCTGCAGTCTCTTAATTCTTGAATAAAAACACTTGCCTGTACTCTTTTTCTCTAGTACATTTTGACCCATTTCCCTCAATAAAAATGTATGCTTCTGGCTGATATTATACTGCTGCATCATCTGCAGTCTCTTAATTTTTAATGAGAATTCTATAAAAACTCCCTGAACCCCTTTGATAATGTATATTAATAATGTAAAAAAATATAAAATGTAATCTCAGAATTGGATAATGTTTAAAAGTTAAAGTGACACTGCACATTCACTTATAAGAAAAATTGTTTCCCTTTAATATTCCAACCAAACAATGCATGCAGCCTAGTGTCGAGGAAATGAAGGCAGCGAGTGTGCCTTCCTGTACAATACATGTCTTTCAACATTAGGAGTAATTTTCAAAGCACCCTTGTCCAAATGTTGAGGGTCAAGAGTCTCTTTCCCACCTCCAGTGAAACAAGAAGGATGTGGGAGGTAACATGGTGGGGACCTACAGTGGATTCCTTTATAATAGGGCAACCAGATATCCACCACCTCCCTCCTTCCTACATAAGTAAACTTTCCCACAAACAGTTAAAAGTAAATATGCATAAACATACTAGTTCAGCATCAATCACAATGACCTATGGGACGCTAGTGTGTACATGCCATAATCCTATCACTGAATCACAGATTCCCTGGCTAGTACCCTGGTATGAGGGTAGAGACTGATGGTTGTATTATTGATCTTGATGGAGATGTCAGGGGAGGGGGCATGGGCTGGAGGGAATAGTATGAGCTCAGTTTTGGAAAGATTTACTTGCAGGAAGTGGAGTGAACATAGATTTGTGTGTCCTCAGCTTAGAGATGGTACTTAAAGCCATTGGAGTTTATCAGGTGACCAAGGCAGGAGGTGTAGATAGAAAAGAGAAGGGGTCCAAGGACAAAACCTTGAGGGACCCCTACAGAAAGAGAAAGTGGAGAGGAGGAGACAGAGTTATAGGTAACGGTGAAGGAGCGCTGCGATAGGTAGGAGGAGAACCAGGAGACAGCAGAGTCTTGGAGGCCAAGAAGGAGGGTAAGGAAAGTAAGATGGGAGTAGGATGTATATCAGTGCACATGCCTTCCTGTCCTGGTGTTTGGGTCAGCAGGTGAGTAAAGTATCAGCAGGAGGTGATGAGAGTAGTAGGGAGATGGTAGAAGTGAGGGTGATATGTATAACCTTTGGGGTGGAGCAAAGGGGTAAAGAAATGAGATTTCGAGAACAGAGGATAGTAATATGAAAAGGAGGAGTAGGGGGGGCATACCGTATTATTCCAGATATAAAAAGAATGATAACTGCTTGGGGTCCATGACTATTCCAAATAAGTGACAAGCATAGATAAAGTCAGAACAAAAGTGTGCATAACTAATTTATACATCTAGTCTGCAGTATCCATAGTTATTTCACAATCTCATCAGGTCTTTCATGTTGAATCAATCTGTAGAATATCAGGAGTGGGTTTGTCTGTCCTTTAAGCTTGTAAGTGAATAGAAGAGTATTCAGGGACATGCTACCATTATAGTGATGCCTGTAGTATTACAGCTATAAAATATATTTTAGTTCCTCTCTTGCTATGTAACACTTAATTGACAACTG